AAATATATTCCAGGCACTCCCTAGCCTTGGGCCCTCTACCACTCAGGAGAGAATTCTTAGCACTGGAGAAAGCTGTTTGGCAGGGGTGGTGGTCACTGGGAGATGTGGAGGTGGAGGAGAGCCCAAGATTCCCAAGACAGGTAATGTAGATTTAGAAACCCAATATTTTATTTTTTCTTCAGTAAGAAAACTTAACCCCTTCTCTTCCCCTGGGAACAGAATCAACTTATTCCTGTGGAAGTCCTATAAAAGCTTATGGCCTGGGCAGTGCCAATATCTAGCCAGACCCATCAGTTCCTAGGAGAGCCCTCAGGGATGGTCCCCGTAGTCCACTTCTTTCCAAAGGGGGAACATGGATCACAGAACTGAGTCCAGCCACATGATCATGACCCTGAGCCAGACCCACCCTGCTCATTGCCCATGCCTTCCTCTAAGACTTTCAGGGAAAATACTCCTGGATATAAGCAGGGAATTATCGGTGTTTTCCATGTCCTCTTGTTTCAACTCTGTCCTCCAGCATATTCAAATAAAAAATGTCATCTCAGTGGGATTTACTTCTCTTGTTCAGTGGCACTGTGACAAAACCAAGAATCAGGCTTGCAGTGCACCAAACCCAAAAGTACGAGGCATACATGTGCATAAGAAAAACCTGTGGGGTTCCCTCAATTGCAGCTCACCCAACTGTTCCCATGCGACCATCAGCGACAGGACAAAGAAATAATGAATGCAAACTTCCCCCAGGTGATCCTGATACAGGGCGTGCACTTCAGGGTTGCGAGCTTCCAAACTCCTATTTAGGAACGCAGGCACAAGCTGCAACTGCTTGGCCTCCTGCCTGGGACAGTCTCATGGGACAGTGTCAGTCAGGCATAGCACCTGCTGCCCAGTTGGCATTTGGCATCTTCAAATAAAAAATCTTTCTGAGTATACCCAAGATGGCTGGCTTTTGAGCCTGTCTGCTTGGGTAGTGTAGTTCATATAGTTCTGGCTTAAATTTTGAAGGTGGTTTCATTGTTATTTTTAAGCAAACTTAAAAAGTAGTGTTTTGTCTATTTATTTTTAGGGCATCAAACCAACTTTTTCTGGGTGACTTTCTCAATATTCTGGGATTTGGTCTTGAGATTTGAGGATTAGCTGAAGACATGATTCTTTGGGGTAAGATTACTCTGTGGAAATAGCTCAGTAAATGATAGTGTTAGCTTCCAAGCAAAGGACAACAGAGAGGGCAGGAACTTAGGGCGGCCACATGACACCATAGCTCCTTGAGTTCATCTTATGTACCCTTGTGGCCCCAGAGTCTGACTTAAGGCAGAGACTTAATAAGCACTGGTTGAATGAATGAATAAATTAATGAACATAATATATAATTTGGGAAAACTGATTTCTGCAGCTCCTTACTCTTTTTTCATAAGTTTATTTTATTTGTTATTTTTTTATGTGGTTCTGTGGCTCGAACCCAGTGCCTCACATATGCTTGGCAAGTGCTCTGCCACTGAGCCACAACCCCGGCCCAGTTCCTTACTCTTTTGAGCTTCAAAGTGTGACATCTGTGGTTACTTGCCCAGCATCCATGTCCATCTTCCCCTTTCCAATATTACTCCAAGTTTTCCAATCGTGTTATATAGGATTGGTTCTTCTCCGAGTTCCAGGGGAGGGTCCTGATCAATCTAGGAAAGTTAGCACACCCCAACTCTCCCATTCACAGTGATGGACTCCGGAATAGGTAAGCCAGGTCTATCAAGGCTGAAACTTAATTCTGAGATATTACTTGAAGTGTTAATTAAGCAGAATGTCTCGCTACCAGCTGCTCTTGAAAGAGGAAGCAATAGGGTTATTGGTAGCTATCTGGGGATCAGAAGGGAAGAACATGCTAAGAATGTACCAAACATAGGAAAGTGGAACAAATGAAGGAAGAGATAACATAAAGGACTGTGGTAATGTTATTTTAGTTGCTGGAGCAAGTTATGACTGAAGCCACTATCTCTGGATTTTTTGCTTAAGTCAATCAATGTGATTGAGTGGGGTATTGTGTAACTTAGAGCCAAGAACATTGCAAATGGCATTACAATTTAAAAAACAGCTTTTTAAACTCAATCATTAGAAGTACACCAATTTTTCTTAGTAGGTTATCATAATTGGGATTAATGCTTCACAATAAATATGTAATAGCAAATAAATGAAAGTTATAGTCAGTAATCATCAATGAGAGCAAAGATATAACATTAGTTTAGATACTAATGAGTTTGCATTAGTATCAAAATTAATCTCTCAAGGATGATTTCTGAGCATTTCAAAGAGAAATGCAAAGGCGATTCCTGAGGTTCTGAATGGATTTACCGATAGGTTATTTCAAACGGAACAAATTTAATGTTCTGATAGCTTTTTTGGACTTTCAGAAAAAATGCTATTGTTTTAGCATATTTAGATTTTTAGAAGTACCTCACTCATTGATGATTCCTAATATTTATCCTCTGGCCTTCAGAAAGTGTTTGCTGCAAGAACAAACAAATGAATGGGAGATGGTCTTGGGAATGAGATGGCATACTGTGAACCTGATAATAATAGTATGAAATACCTTTGTAAGTGCTCCAATATCCCAACTCAAAGAATTCATGCATTCAGGACAATCAAAAGAGAGTTCTTTCTTAGTGGTGTCCTGTAGGGCATTGATTGGTATATTTTTGGTGCTGTGAATGACACTCTCCTTATTTTTGGAGATGCAGATCACTAGGGGTTCTGAAAAGAGCCTGACTGACCGTTAGCTGGGTCAAGTAAAGAGAAATTTTTTATATGCCATTATGTTTGTGTTAAATGTTCTAAGCCATTCCTTTTTCCTAATAAAGTTTTATGATTCTAGAACAAATTTTAAAAATGTAATTTAGATCCAAAAATCAAATTTAAACCCAATAGCCAAGGGTAAAATTGATGTTGTGGACATGTAATTAGCAATGTTCTTTCTAGCTTCCTTAGGACATAAAAGTGCTTTTAAGAGATAAATTAGGTGGCCCAAGGTCACTTAGAAAAAGACAAAATAAATTTGAGCCTATGCCATCTTTTCGCTTCAGTAAAGCTCTCCATGGTGGCATTTACTCAACAAATATTTATTGGGTAGTTAATGTATGCAAGGTTGTGTGCAAGGCCGGGCAAGTCATGGAACACCCAGCACCTCTCTCTACAGGTATTTTGTTGATTTACTGTCAGAGCACTTCACACTCCATTAGGAAACAAACAAACAAAAACATCCAATTACTAAGTCATTAGCAGTGTCATTTAAAATCGAAGATGGGAATGCAGAGCGCAGGATTGCAAGGGCCCTTAGAGACCTAGCACAGCCCCTTTATTTCACAGATGGAAGAACAGACTCGTGCAGTAAAGAAAGATCGAGGTGCTTCTGTATGTGCTGATGTGGGAAGACAAAAACAAGATATTTGAGAAGCTGAAACAAGCAAGCTCAAGAACACAAAGCAGCATTCACCACTTGGGCCAAACAAAGTCCCAGCCACAGATGCCTTGGTGCTAGGCTTTTTTTTTTTTTTTAATAATGGGAAGGGAATGCCTTAGAAAACTGATAGAGGCCATCCATGGGGAAGGGAGAAGGGGCATTGGAATATGAGTTGGAGGCTGGTTTGTGGGTTACAGGAAAATTTTATTCTTTATTTCTCTAATGTTTTATCTTCTTCGCAGCTTTGTGTTGCTTTTGTAACAAGTAATCTACAGGTGTGTGCTTGTGCATATGTATTTATAATATACATACAGTCACACATCACTTAATGAGGGGGATAGACAGGAGCTATGCATTGCCAAGTGAATTCAATGATATGCAGACATCACAGAGAACATCCCCATAAACCCACTTGGTATGGCCACTACACGCCTGGGTTGTAGAGTATATACTATCCTGTGTACAGTCCACTGTTAACTGAAGTGTCATTATGCAACACACATCTATATCTGTCTATATTTATATGGATGATAAATGTGCATATATGTATATGTACACATGCATATATAAATACATAGAAAAAAGTCTTGGAGACTTTCTGGCTGTGGGTCAGGCTTGTTTCTGGGTCCCACTCTGGATAACAGTTCACCATTTTTTGTGAAACTTCTGCACAGTTACTTAGCCTCTCTGAGCTGTGGTTTTTCTTATATACGAGATGGAGATAATAATAGTACCCATCAATTAGGGCTGTAATAAGAATCTAAGGTTCAGTCGCTTAGTACCATGGCTAGCACAAGGCAGGTTCTCAATGGACATTAGCAATAACAGCAACATCAGTAACCATATTAATAATTATTTTTACAGCATATTATTTTAATATTTATATTATAATACTTTATATTATTTTTACTGGTACCTAGTAGAGCCGAATGAGAACCTGCCTCCTCTGGCCCCAGTATGGTTGGTTTCCAACCCACCACACTCCTCCTTCTCTCTCTGGAGAATTACTGAGTCAGGAAGATGATACCAAGAAAAGAGAACATGAGTTTGAAGTGATGACCATTGTTGTCTTCATGAGGGGAGCTGACTGGGCCACTGATACTCAGATATGACCTCTATTCCTAAGGAGTCATCCTTAGCGACCAAACATTATTATTTGCTGTTAATTTTTTAGCAGATAACTGCATATGATACTATAGGCTGAATTATGGCCAAGAGCATAATTTATGGAAGTCAACACATTTTACCTTTGATGACCAAATGTGCAAAAAATAAAAACAAAGCCCCATATTGAAAGTCAGAAGGTACACCTCCCTTCCAAAAGCATTCCTGAAGTGGGTCTTGGAGGTTGTAGAGACTCTGCAACCCACAGTATATTCTCTACAATTCCAGTCTTGGAGATTGTGGGCGGGGTGCTGAGTTATTTCTTTCCTTGGTGGAAAAAGGAGGCTTTCAGGTTTTGGTGCTGTGGTGTGGGACTGCGTGTGTTCCATAACACTAGCCTTCGAGAATGCAGGCTGGCTAGATTTCTGAGGAGGCTTGCATTTCAGGTACTCACAGTATGATTTCCATATTGGAGGCTGGTATTCTTCAGCATCTAGGGAAAAAAAAAAAGAAAGAAATCACTCTGCAGGTCTGCACATCAAACTGTCAACAAGTGTCTTCTCTGGAGGGGTAACTGTCAGCAGTACTTGCCATCCAGTCCCAGGGGACTTTCCACTAATTTAGGGGACAGTTCCAGGCACGAGGAAGGGAACCTGCATGGCAACCTTGCAGACCCAACACCACTTTCTTCAGATCTCTTACTGTGACAGCATCAATTGCCTAACAATTTTCATAGAGCCCAGTAAATCAAAAAAGATTTTTAAAGCAATTAACTTGATTGTACCCTCTAGTAATCCTTTCAAACACTATTTACTCAACTTGGCATAATAAACATATAATTTACCTCACAGTTTCCAATCAGACCTTTAGCCCATTTATTAAGATTTGAGGGCAAGATGCAAAGTGGCAAGTATGGAATATTAAATGTGGAAAGTTGAACAACCCAACTCACTGAGCTCCTAAAAATCCTGGGTCTGACAGCAGAACACTGATGATCCAATTGGAATTGCATTATCTCCTTGAATTAACTCCAATGTGTGACTTAGAAAATTTTCAGAAACCTCTCAGCAATCAGAAGTGTCAGAGCAAGAGAGTTACAGCAAAATGGAGAGGATGAAATTGGTATTCATTACTCCAGAAAACAGACAATGGGAGAAAAATCTGCTTGTTCAGTCGACTCAACAACCCTGTGCTGACAGCTGAGCTTATTATTCTGATGCGGTGATTATAGAGTCCTCTTGGCTCACAGCTATGAAGACTTGTAAAATATACTCCAGCCTGATAGCCAGGGGAGAGAATTCTTTGCCCCAAATCACAAGGCGTAGATCTGCGGGGCACATGAAGAGTTCTCTAATTCAACTTGTGTTATCCTCCACTCCCAGGAAACCCACAGCCTGTCCCTACAGGGTCCCCATCCTTGGCTCCTTGTCCTACTTAACCTCAGGCAAGCAAATGGCTTGAGAGCGTTTTCCTATTTGAGAAAGAAAACTAACACAAAAGTGGTAACTTTTCCCAAATCCCACTTAGTTACACTTGTGTAGCTTATATTATTTTACAATGAATATCTTGCTCTCTGGGCCCATCATATCACAGCACTCAACTCAATGCCTGCAAAGGTCAATTCATATAAATGAGTCTGTTGCTACCCATGTAGGGTCAGGAACCCACATATGAATAATCAGCTGCGTAGCCACACACACAAATACAGCACACTGATAATGGCTTATGCTGTTCAGACTCAGATTGCTAAATAAATATAGGTGCTCACTCTTAATACTTTTGTCAAATTATCTTATAATAGTGAGCTTGTAATTTAAATGATCAATTAATTTCATCCCATATGTAACAAACCAATTTTAATGGGCTAATATGAGTGATTTTTTTAAAAACTATTTTAATAAAAGAAATCAATTTGCTAAACTTATAATAAAGTTCTAGAATCATCTATCCCATGTTACCTTACCAGAAAAGCCAGACCCTGTGTGTTAAGTGTGGATGACATCTTTGAAAACATTTTTTCAAAGATAAAGATAAACACACACCACATGGACACATTGCACAGAAATGTTTATCCATCTACCCCAAACTATAATGTCTTGTCATTTCAGAGGACATTTATTCTATGAGGCAAGTACAACCCACAGACTCTCCAAAATGGTCAGGACTGTTCATGACCTAAGCACTACTCTCTACATATTGGGAGGCATCCCTAAGACAGAGGAGGTAGTCAGTCCCCTTTATGCAGATCTTTGAATATAGTCCAGCTGCTCAGCTTGGATCTGCTGAGGTTTTCTTACCTAAAGCCAGAAGTTTAAATAAATGACCTCTCACTTTCCATTTCAGTCTTATTGTTCTGAGAAAAACCTAGGATTGGGTTTCAATGGAAATGTTTGGGCCCTAACCTAAATTTGATAGAGGCTGCCCTGAATGTTCCATAAATCACCCTCCCCTTTCCAGCTGCTCCCTATTGGTAACACAACGTGGAGGTGAAGAGAGCACCTACAGAAACTGGAAATTAGAACCCTCCCTTGCACAAAATCCACCCCTCCATATTGTCCCTCTGTGCTACAGTAAAATTGAGCGCCCTCCTGTGGCCTAAGGCACAGCGTCATCTGCAGCGGCCCACGTCTCTGACTCTGCTGCATGCAGACATTCTCCTTTCTACTTCTCATCCAATCCTGCTGGCTTCCTCTCAGTTCCTAGAGCAAGCCAAGCTCTTTCAAGTCTCCAGCCTTTGCTCTTGTGGACTCTCCTTGTAAAAACCCTGCAATAGATCTTGGCATGGCTCACTTGCTCTGCCACATAGGGCTCAGCTCAAATATCACCTCCCAGGGGCTTTCCCTGCCAACCTCGCAGAGTGGCCTCCCCCCCGCCCCCAGTCCCTCTCCTAACACACAGATTATTTTTCTTCATAATGTTTATTACCATCTGAAATTATTTATTGATTTGTTGATTTGTTGGGACTGGTTTCACTCCACTGTTTGTCAAACTCCATAAAAGCAGGAATTTTGTCTCATTCACTTTTGCATTCCAGCCCTTAGAAGAGTAGCTGGCATAAAACAAGTCTTAAAAACTAAAACTAAAATGGGTTCTATAAAAGAATGAACTGTCGGGGTTCAAGTCCTAACCTCCCTCCTGGGGCATTGTGGGAATTCAGAGAGACTGCATATGTCTGCCTAGCACACAGCAAGTTCTGAAGGAAGCCCCACAAACGTGCACCACTCCTGGGCCGTCCCTTGCCCTGATCTTGTTTTCGCTCCCTCCACGGAGCCAATGACTGTCTCCATTCTTGCCCCCAGATCTGGAGCCTGTAATTAAGTTCCAGTGCTGTTGTCATGGAAGGTTTTTCTTTGCCATAAAAGAATTCAAATTGAGAGGCCATTTGTCATGCTCCAGTGGAACAACTATAATTACCTTGGCCTTAGAGACACGTTTCACAAACCACTATAGCGCACTGATAGGAGGCTTGGTCAAGTGACAGAGCACAAAATATTTTTTAATATGTTGAAACAAATCTTTAGCTGCTTCTAGCACTGTCCCCCAGACACACACTATTTGCTCTGACTTCATACAACACTCTTCAGTGATCTGCCTCACTCTTGAATAGCCTGACACTCCTTTTATTAAAAAAACAGGAATGGGTTTTCAAGGCCATTTAGTTGACCTTCATCATTTGGCAAATGAGGAAGAGGAAACACAGAAAGATTGAGGGGCTTCTTCAAGGTCATGAGCAAGTTAGAGGCAGAGGTGGGAGCTTTGTCTTCCAGGCTGTGGACACATCAGTCATCCCTGCCAGGCAGCCCCCCTCATTTACATATATTGAAATCACAAAAACAAAATTATCATATAACAGATTTATTACTTCGGTTCTTGTGAAGCTTGAAAGAAAAATGAAATAGAGAAAAGAAAGAAAATTGGTGTTATGAAAAATTGCCATTAGGTCAAGTGGTGGGACACAATTTGATCTGTCTCTGTCCTTCTATGTAATAAAGTCCAGGAGACACGAGCTGCTGCGAGCACCCAGGACATAAATGAGGTGGTTTTTAAAAATGTATGATTTTACTAAACATTTTTGGAGAGATGGGCAAAAAGCAAAAGGTAGAGGAAGTAGATAAAGAAGGCCCGAATCCAAAAATAAATAAATAAAGATCTATCATTGAACTTAGAAGACAGTAATACATTTTCAGAAAAGCCTAAGGATCTTAGGGACAAGAGGGGTTTAGAATATACATATTGCTTAAAAACACTGATTAATGTGGATCTAACCTTTAAAAAATATATGTTGACCTTCGACTCAGACATTTTATTCATGGGAATCTAGCCTTAGGTAGTAACTAAACACATACACACAGATAAATAACGAACTAGCTGCTCTATGTATAGTAGTAAACCTAAATGTGCAGTAAGTCGAGATCAAATAGTTATTGCATATGTTGCCATGGAAATGATGGTTTGGACCATAGTCTGTGGTCAAGAGTCAGACTGCCAAGGTTCAAAACCCAGCTCTGCCACTTACTAGCTGTGTGACCACAGGCAAGTTATCTAAAATCTTTCTTGTCTCAGTTTTTTTAATCTAAAAAATGAGAGTAATAATACCATCCAACATACAGCATTGTGAAGACTGTATGGGTTGATAGACATAAAATGCTTAGTCTGTAAAGAGAAAGTAACAAATACACTTCATAATAGTCATGTGCAGGAGAAAGTTAAAAGAGAAGACACTTACAGGGAGGGAGGCAGGGAGGGGGGGAGAGAGAGAGAGAGAGAGAGAATTCATTGCATACAAAGAATACAATGAAAAAGTAACTGAAGGATGTACATAAGATAAATTGTGAGATAAAACTAAAATGCTCAGTCTGATGCCTGAAATACAATATACTAAATGCTTGCTATTATCATAGTCTCTCTTTAACCATAGGAAAATATTTATCTACATTGTCAAGAGCTAAACGAATCAGGTTACAAATCAACTTTCTAAACATGATCCCATTTTTAAGAAAATGGAAATATTTACATACATAGAAATTACTCAGAAGGCTATAAGCTCAATTATTAAAAGTTGTTATATCCCAAAGTGAAAATATGGCTGAATTTTATTTTTTTTTCTATTGCTTTCTGCCTTTTATAATTTTCTGAACATACTGCTCATATAAAAATAAAAAAGAGTAAGAAATAAATTTGCAAAAGTGCTAGGTGGTAGCTTTTTTAAAAAACTCATCCTCTAAATAAATCACACCTTGAAAATAAAGTAGGTGAAAAGAGACCCCACAAATCTTATACTAACATACACAGCATGTGTGTATTAGTGTAAGAAGTCTGAAGGATGAAGACTAAAGGAAAGAGACAAATGCTTCTATACCAAAAGTCCATGCTCAACACCCTTGGCTCTCTACAAATTACTGAGAAATAAGCACTAAGGAGCAATCCTAAGGAGAATGGGAAACTTGGGAGAAAAAAATAGAGAGAGATGCTTAGAAAATGATCCAAAGTTTA